GTGAGACGGTACGTATTCAATCGTGGTGGCTTGAAATTGTGGGGCGGTTTTATCCACCGCACAATGCCTGCTCGCCACGCGGTATCTAAGTGGGCAGGAGAGTTCGTCTGTGCGAGGGGTATTCCCGATTTCACAGGCCCCCCTCAACCTCTCGGCCTTGCCCGCAGGACAAGCCAGGGCGCTCGAGGTTACACGGCCTAAGCCGTCCCGATGCGCTCCGTGCTTACCTACGGAAGCTGGTGCTGGCTGAGTTGGCGTTAATCAACTTAAGTCGGTTGTTGGATAAGCAGGTTGAAAAGCGAATGAAGATCGTGATTTTTGGCATGTTTGAGCAACGAATTCTCGCGGAGTATTGGTGTGTACGAATGCTTTGCACTTTTGCGTGCTTCCCTTTGGTTGTTCATACATATGGGTGTATGTATGTATGGGTGTATGTATGTATGGTTGTATGTATTCATGTAGATCTGTATGTATGTATATAAATATGTAGCGTATGTATGGCTGGATGTGGATATGTATGTACGTATGTATGTACTTGTGGGTTTTATGTATGCATGTACGTCAGTGTAGCGTAGGGGAGCTACATTACACAATTTTTATGCTTAAGAGCCACTGTGTATATAAATTTTGCGTAAATAATTATGAACTCCTTAGCCACACTGCTCAAAAATTCTGCACGTCCGGTACACACATATATAAATTCAAGGCCGTATTTTTGCTTAAATTGCTTAACTTCGACAATTTTTATGAAATTGGATTGGATGAGGTATCAGTTTCAATGAAAATAAATGTTTTTTTTTTGATAAATACCACATGTTTCGCAACTTTCATAGACATTTTTGAAATTAGCGATGATCAAAGTTCAAAAAAGGAAGAAAAATATGGGCTCATTAAAATTTAACCGATGAAAACTCCCAACAAGCTAGGTCTAACAATACATTGTTAGACATCGTTTTAAAGGTATATAAATCCTATTTTCAAAACTTGTTCGATTTTTAAAATCGGATGAAAACTGGTCAAGCTATTAATAGATAAGAACATCAAGAACGAAACTAACGGTTGTTTGGGTATAAGAAAAAATGGAAGGTTCAGGAATTACACGGGACCTATTTTCAGGGTTGACAGGTAATAAGACCAACGGAAATAAGGTAAATTGACTTTATTTCCCACCCTGGTGCGAACTAAACTCAATTGACGTTATAATCTTTTTAAAAGCGAAATAAAATCCATTGACATTATTGCTCTTTCAAACATTAAATTTGCTTAGCTTCGCGGCGGCCGGCGGCCGGCGTCCGCGCGCCACACCACGTCACGCTACGATATAAAAATCCACCTAAGATTTAACTGTCATCAGTGATATTAATGCTACCTTATATAACGCTTGACTGAAGAATTTACCATATTATAAATTGTAATAAGTCCCAGATGGTTTCTAAAATCACAAATTACTTTTTGTGCAAATTGCAGATAGAGGGTATTAATGAATTTAAGCCCTCGATATTTCACATATTTATATTTGCAAGTTATTGGAAGCATTCTGCTGTGTTTTGGCAACAACTTGTCTGCACTAAAAAAGCATATCATTTGTGTTTCAAAAGTGTGTGAAAACCAAAAACCAATCAATTAACTTACATGATCTCGGTTCCGATATTAAATAATCAATAATTGTTTATACCCGCATTTTGGCACATTGGCTTGTTGAATGTGCCATCTAATAAATAAAATGTCGTCGTTCTCCTTAGCTGCTTTTAAATGATGTCACAAATTGCTGGCGGAGACATGAATACAGTGTAAGAAAATTCCTATTTTATAATTGTTTCCTTATAGAAAGGTTGGTTTCTTTTCCACCTTAGACATTCCGAGTTCGTTCAAAATCTTCTAATTTAAAACACATGATTCTTTCAGTGCTCCTCCGGGGTTTTTGGACATGGACTGTTTCTTCAATTTAATAGTGTTCGCTTTATTTTTGTGGAAACGAAACATGTTTTGCCAGTTCTGGATCATTTCTATACTCTTTCTTCAAATATTTCTCGTATTCCAGCTGCGTTTTGCGTTTGGTTTTTCGCATCGTGTTTTTACTATATTCGTAATTTTAAACTTTTTAATGAAATCAATTGGTGGTAGTTCATGATTGTGTGTGGATTAATAGCACCACACTGAGGATTTGGCAATAACCTTTCACCTATTAAAAAACAACACTTAGGGGCAATGTTTATTGTAAGAACAACATTTTTTTCTATGAATCGATATACTTTAAGCATTGTTGACGCTATTTCAATTTGAATGAGGAAATAGCGTCAATGACTTTATTTCCAAATTTTTGTAGACTTTATTTCGCTTTTGAAAAGGTAATAATGTCAATTGACTCTATTTCGCACCAGGGTGGGAAATAAAGTCAACTGACCTTATTGCCGTTGATCTTGTTACCTGTCACTATTTTCAGGTTATACTCGAACATACCTACAACATACACTTTTTTTGTAGCACCGTGTAATTATCTGCTAGAAAAGTGAAGAAACAAAGGTATTTTTTCTCTGTTCTCGCCGAATTTGGCCTTTGCTTTGGTTTTGTGCAATCTTATATACAGCAGTGTGTTTAAATTTTGACTGCGAACTTACTTCCGACGAAGTTCGCTCAGCGATTTTATTCTGTTTATACTTTTATTAGAAGAGCTGATATCAGTGTTGCCACAAAGACTTTTAATTTTTTACCAAACCTCTAAAAAAATTATCAAATTTTTATGAGCATAATATTCTAAAAATATCGGAAATTATATTCAACAATTTTTATTGAGCTTGAGGCCGTTTTTAATGAAAAACTACTGTGGAAAAGCAACAACAATTTGAACAAATCGTAGAAGTGATAGTTATTTCGGAAATCACCGCATTTCCTCATCAAATTGGAAATAATTTTAATGAAGGAAATTTTTGCACATGCGTTAAGGCGCCTGGTGTTAGCAGTCGCGGCTGAACAATTAGAATACCAGAAAAATATGTATTTGAACACAGCCAAAGCGAAATGCGAAGTTAGCGGCATTTCGTGGCGCTAGATTTAGTTCTATCGCTTCGCCTTTAAAATTTTAGAAGAAAAAAACATACAAAACGAATTATTTTTGTTGGTTGAAAAATACAGGGATCGATTCTTTAAATCTGGCTTAAAATAAATTAATTTATAATGATTTCTCCTTGTTTTTCATATATAGTTGTTATCATTTCATCATTTGTAAATAAGGTTTAGTTTTTCAGAATATGGTCACCTAAATTATAAATGCGACGAAATGGGATCAGCTGCTTTCGATACCGCTCTAATTCAGTTGAAGTAAGCAAAATATCAAATATTTTGTTTCAAGCATATGAAAGGTAAAAACATGGCTGCGCTCCACAACAAGCGTAAATCAACTTAACGGTAATAATTTTTATAAATTATCAGTTGAATTTCTTATAAAATTTAGGTTTATGCATCTTAAGCGTGCATCGAAATTTTGTTTTAGAGAATCAATGTGACATAATTGAAAAAACGAATGACCGGTTTGCTGAGCAACCGAGACGATTGCTTTTAAATAATTCTGTAAAACAAATCAGCAAGTACATAAGTATGTATGTATTAACTTTACATTTATTAATTTTTTATAAGCCTGTTATACATATTTTTGTAGTAAGAAAAGAGTAGTCATATTTCGTGTTAATATTTTTCTATTTATATGAAAAGAAGTTAATAAAATGTAAGATTAGTACTCCACTCTGCCTAGTAAAAATAAACTAAATTGATATTTTTTATTAGTTACACTGAGATTTTGCCGGATAACCGGATTCCGGATACCATGTAAAAATATGAGCCGGATTCGGATATCCGGTAGACTTCTGACCTTAATAAATTTAACAATATTGTTATATTAGGCTTTTTTTTGTTTAGAAACATAATTATGACCAGATTATTTGCTTTTTCGAGATGAACTATCCAATACAAAATTAGGAACACAAAATTGTTTCTTTTAAAACCAAGTTATAAAATAATTCTGTATTAAAAAGATTTTTTTTACAACTATGTTTGAGTACGGACGTCATATTTATTCGCTCCATAAAAAATCATATTTATCGTGTAGCTAAATATAGTTAACCATCAAAAGATACACTAAACTATTATTCGAGTTTTGTGTCGTCACGAACTGCCCTCAGCAGTATAAAAAATCAAAGCGTGATAGCGAAAAATACCTCAAAAAATAATAAGACATTGTGTGTATCAAAATAAATAAATTACTGTTTACATACGAAAAAATGCGTGTGTAACACCGTACACATGATAGAAGTGAAACTTCTTAAAAAAGGTGTGAGTACCAGGTACCTACTCACGAAATTGGATGTGTAAACATATGTTTACGTTTCCGCAAACCATTAGGCGATTGAGTTACATACATAGGTTTGGTTAGAAATCGAACAATAATTTCATTTCATCTTATTAATTTTCTGATATACATATAATTTATTTATTCATTTTCCGGACCGAGTTGTAATGGAAGTAATAAATGAAAATGTTTATAATGCAATCAATAGATCCTTACGAACTCGCCATTACCAAGCCACTAAGTAACGTACGCACTTTTGTTTGCAAATGCATTTATTTAAGTTGAAAGAAGACAAATTCCTTTGTTCGGAATTTATTCTTACTCGCTTTCTATCTTCCAAGGCGAATTCATATATTCTTATCACCAATTCATATATTCATGTGGTAGCAAGTGTATAAAAACATATAATTACCTTATAAATTAAAAGCATAAGTACAGGTAGACCTCGCTTAACACGGGGGTTACGTTCCCGTATAATACCGTGTTAAACGAAACCGTGTTAAGTGAAACAAGAAACCAGTACAAAAAGTAGGGTTCCGTTCCAGGATATCAAAAAATACATCAAAAGCCGTTTTTTTTACTCTTTATTAATTTTAATTGTAGTTATAACTAAAAAAATAAACAAAAATTGATTTTCATTCTAAAGTTTACTTGTTTGTATAATTAAAAAAATTAACAAACTTAAAAAAATAAAGTAACTAAAGGAATTCAAAATTTATCAAAATACAATCATGCTATTCAAATCTGTTCTTCATCGCTGCTTATGGTCAATCGTGCGCGCTTTTGAGGTGCATCCATTTGGGGCTGTTTTTTAAAAAAATCTGTTAGTTTTGACTGTTTGTTTGACAGTTTTTTATAAATTTGTTTGTATGGTAACATACAATTTTCAAGTTCTCTTTTAAACTTTAATCGCCTTTCAGCAGAAGGATCGGCATTTAAAAAAAACGACTCCAAGTTTTTGGCTAGACTCATTCCCTTTTGAAGATCCTTAACCGTTAATTCATGAGTTTCGCTATCGTCTTCAGTGTCGCTGCTATCAGAATTTTGCTTATTAGGACTTTCCGATATGATTTGAATTAAATCGGAATCTTCTAATTCGGTTTCCTGCAGTAGATCTTGTAAATCTTCTGCCACCATATCATTAAATCCTTCACCGTCGATTAAGTGTGCAATTGCTAAGATTTCGGTAAGTCCGTTTTCTTCAGATGCTACCCCTGTTTCTTCTTACACATCCACAGACGGCAATATTTTATTCCAGCATCCACTTAATGTTGACTTTTTCAGCTCCTTTAATGATTTCGCTATTATTTGGATACAGTCTTTGATTGTCTTCCAAGCGCTTGTTAAATCCACAGATGACGACTCTGTTAAATTTAAAATCCACTGCAAAGACCTTCGGATATAATACATTTTGAATGTGTAAATTATCCCTTGATCCATTGGCTGCAACAGTGACGTGGTATTAGGTGGCATGAACATAATTTTGACATTAGGATGAGTCAAATTTTGTGGATGACCTGGAGCGTTATCTAAAAGCAACAAAGCTTTGAAGTCCAAATTCCTCTTCTTTAAATATTTCTCAACTTCTATAACAAAGCAATTATAAAACCAATCACTGAAAATATCTCTGGTAACCCAAGCCTTCGAATTTGCTCTCCAGTAAACTGGCAATG